ATTTATATTTAATTATCATTGATTTTTAAAAAAAAAAGTAATATAAATAGATAATAAATAATATATTGAGTATATATAAATGGTCAATATTTGTGTGGACTGACCCCACTATGTGAAAGACAGGTCACAATGCCTGTGAATTGTGAAAAAAAGGTGTCTAAATATTTGAATGGGATCCCCTGTCTGAAAATGGTGTCACCATCTCTGTCCCGATCAATAAAATATATTCACATTGTTTAAAAAATCCACTCACTTGTATTTCTTTTTTTTCTTTTTTTTTTCTTGCATATTTTTTCTTTTTTCTAATTGGTTGGGATATGGATAAGGACACCATTTTGAAACAGGTGATCCCATCCGAAATATTTAGTGCATTTTGTGTCAGAGATCATCACAGAGGCAATAGCTATTTACTTCCATCTTTTTTGCAATCAATGCTGCTATGATAACCCATACTTTCCATTCCATAATAATACATCTCATAATTTGATAAGACCACGGTGGATAAAAATTCAACACTCTCTCTCACAATTCGGACCACTTTCCACAGCTATATAATATACCATTATTCTTTTAATAATATTATATTTTTCTACTAAATCCTTATACTAATTTTTATACCCATAAAAAAGTGACATATGTTACAAAATGATATTTATTTATTAGTGATTGGTTTATAGGTAACACATATCACTTTTTTCTGAATAGAAAAATGAGTAATAAAATTTACAATGAAGATATATCATTTTCCTTATTATTATTTTTTGTAACAAAGGAGGACAAAAATATTTTCCTTTCACTTTCTTCATTTTCTCATTGTTCCAATGGTGGCACCTTCATTCCACTTCTACATTGTTACAAGTTTTGCATAATATGATGTATTTATACTTTCTTTATTTTTTGTTCTTAAGAAATATCCAATCCTTGGCTCTCTTAATTGGAAGGTGTTTTCCGAAATTTGAAAGAGTTGAAAACGCTTCTAGATATGTTAGGGGAATAAGAAACCTAGCTATATATCCATTTTGGTATGAGTTGTTTAAGATTGGCTATCATTCCACTTCTCATAAACGATGTTTTAAAATATAGAGTTTACATATGTTATATATGTATCTCAGATAATTAGTTAATTGTTTGTTAAAAGGTATGTTAATTGAAAAAAATACTGAGAAGTGAGACATATTGCTACATGTACAAAAAAAGAAATAAAAATTGTTATCTTCTACAATAATTAGAAGAACAAAAGTAAACACAACTTTAAAGTAGAGATTACTATTATCCATCACAAAATAAATAGTGTGACTTTTTATCCATTTTTCTTGTCTCCCTTTTTACTTTTTAGGGTGCCTTCCCTTTTCCAAATGTATAGTGCCATGAAATTGCTTTCCCATTGGACTAGAATAGAGTCCAGGCCCATTACAACATTGACACAATCAGATGATGCTAACAAGTAATAACTAGGTAATGTGTATAAGAAGACACATACTTTTCACTTTAATTGAGGAGAACCCAAAAAAAAAGTAGGTCAACAGTCAAATTTGGCAGTTTGCATGGAGAAAGACTCTCCTCCTGTACTGGAGAAGAAAATTATTGTTTTTACACTATTTTATAAGGATATAAATGATATTATAATTATAACAGGAGATAAAAGCGTCACAATGTTATTTTTTTTCTTTTACTTTTGTTGCACTATCCTCGAGATGTACTAGAGATAATCTTTACCCGTTTGCATGGGTTGTGACAATGCATGATAGAGTAAATTTCTTTTTATTTTCTTGTTCTTAGACATGTTTTTGTAATTAAAACTAGTTCCATTTTGCTTTTAATTAGTGGAGTAAAACCTACTGGAAAGATTAAATAGACATCAACACAGTTCATATTATCAATCAACTAAATTCCTGAAATTTCAAATGACCATCACTTTAGTCTATCATCAATACTTTGTCTATAATTACTAACGATTGCTCAAGTGACACGGTAAGTAATTGACATATATTGTAGATGATGCATTGACATTAAAGTTTCAATGATCATTAACTTAGTCGCTGAAATATCTTTTCTACCAATTAAGTCCTTAAAATTTGTAGTGATAGCTTGCCAAATGATACCTGTAATGAAATTATAACATGAGACTCGCTTAATCACATTCCATATTTCATTTGATCGTTGTAATCACACTTGTTTGATCACAACCTAATCATGACAAGTCCATATAGCTATCATCCCTGGTTAGACGAATGGACATCACCTGTCCCATTTTTGGTGTCCAAATGTGTACAAATTCAGTTAAAAATTGCTACGTAATAAAAAAGAAAATTAAAAAAACAGAAAATAACATTTATTACATTACTTGGTGTAGTGTAATTGACTTGAGACATGAGGACAAATATATTTTGGGACATGTGATCCTTATTTTGGCTAGACTATAAAAGTTTTGGCTAGACTATAAAAGAATACAATGATGTGTGAAATGTGAATAGAAATCCACCTTTGCCTATGGTCCAATAGTGATCAATTCATGGCTTATTCAGCCCATATACTTTTGATGAAATGTGGTCCACCCTGCCTTAGCCCACATGGGCTAGGACCAACTTATTTGTCAATTTTAGGCGAGGAATGCCCAAAGTGGTTCATCATTCCAACTTATCCAGTTTGAAGGGCTTTTGGGACCCATGATACAAAACATCTTATGAATGTTAGTTAACCAGGTAAACAAATTCAATAACTTCAAATTTTGATTTATAAATAGTAAAGTGATAGGTGGTAATTGTAATAATGAACGTGAATAGCATCACCCTCAACAGAACAACGATAATAACAGAATCACAACACAGAACAACCATAATAACAGAAACACAACACAGAACAGCATGATCATCTAAAATAGAATGACACACTATATACCATTCACCATCATCCTAGTCTTTTGCAATGCCCTTAGGAAACGGTCTCACATAAAATTAGAACCAAGCCGAAGAGAGAGAAAGAGAAAGAGAAAGAGAAAGAAGGAAGAGAGTATCCTCGCTCTCGTATTGTGATGGGAAATCCAAATACCGAAACTGCCCCTCAGCCTAAACGACACCGTAAGACGAAACCTCAACCCTCTTCATCATCATCGGCCCCACCAGCAAGGGTCCCACTAAGGCAGTTACTTAAAGTTGCATCAGTAGCAGGTGGCATTCAGTTTGGGTGGGCCCTACAGCTTTCTCTTTTAACTCCCTACGTTCAACAGCTTGGGATCCCTCACGCTTGGGCCAGCATCATTTGGTTATGCGGCCCGCTCTCTGGGCTTTTTGTTCAGCCTTTGGTGGGCCTATTAAGCGACCGTTGCACCAGCCGATTTGGTCGCCGGAGGCCTTTCATTTTTGCCGGAGCTTTGTCTATCATCGTCTCCGTTCTCATAATTGGTCATGCTGCTGATATTGGGTGGTGGTTTGGGGATACGTTCAATCATCGGCCGTGGGCTGTGGCGGCGTTCGTCTTCGGTTTTTGGATTCTGGATGTAGCTAACAATGTCACTCAAGGTCCTTGTAGAGCTTTGCTCGGTGATCTCACAGGTAAATTTCTGTTTCAATTACCAATCGTATAGCCCTAATTAACTTTCTTTTGTTTAATTCTTTCTGGTTGAGTGTTAATCACGCAAGGTTCTTATTTGATTTTGCTTTATATCATTTCCTTTTTATAAATGGGATTATATATGGTTTTTAGTTGTACGTTGTTGTAATCATTATTGTAAGATGCTAGTTTGCACTAATATATTCATTATCTAGATTATGGAAATAACCTCTTAGCTCGTGCGATAAGGTTGTGTAGTATATATATTTGAAGTTCCCAAACCCTATCAGGTGGGAACATCATTAAATTGATGATCTAACCAAAATGATTAATTATTACATGAAATTGCACATCAAATGATCACAGCTATGCCCTTGAGCCTTTGGAAGTTCATCTCTCTCATGCCTCATTGCCCCTTTTAGACAGTCATACCTTTAATTTATGTAAAGATAAGTTATGTCTGACCCTTTCTGGTGTTAGATTTTGAAGGGATCTTTGTATGGAGTTTGTATGGAGGATACTTACACTCTCTTAAAAAAGGCGTTCTTTGTCTGTATTTTTGTCCACTATATTCTCTGTTTTGTTTGAACCTCTATTCTAAATTTGTATGATAATTTGGATTCCGCCATGTCTTACAATTCTTATTTTGGAATGTTCTGTACATTTATTTATGCATTATGAGAACCCAATCACATATACTAAGATTTTGGGTGGGTTTAGTAAATTTCAATGTGATCTACTTTCTGTTATTAAATTAAGAGGTTTAAACAGGAGTAAGGAACTAGGGATGGCATAGTTTTATCTTAGTGTGGCACACATGCTTTTACGTGGATTCTGGTGTGTGGTTGGTCTTTGGTGAGAAATTTTGGGATGCTGAAGTGGAATTTTCTATCCTTAAACTTGAGTAACGTAAATTTTTGTTTAAGCCACTCTATGATGTTCAGTTCATGGTTTCATGTGAAGGAGTTTCCTTGGTACAAATGCAGAGATTGAATCGGTTGTGTTCAGCACTTTAATTTTCTTAAAGAGGCGATCTTTTCCTTCTTTTTATCTGTGTTTCTTCTTTCCTCCTAATACAAACTGTTCTTCGGAAAGGAGAATACCTGCAATCTCTTCCATTTAGAAGGAGAGTCTGTATAGTGAAGATGAGCATAGCGTTAACTCTACTCTGAGATTCTTCAAGAGACTCTCAGAAGAAAAGGACTAGAGCTTATTATTTTGTTCTGGGTAGGGAGGGGAATTGTATTTGACACATACATGAATTGTCATACCTTTATGCTATATTATCTACTGACCAACTATGAACTTCGTGCCATATTTTCGAAAATAGTGACATAGAAATCATACAGCTGCTACATTACTCAGTAACACTTACATAAATCTTTAGCACATCCTCTGGGATGATTCCATACCTTTATCCTCGAGCTTTCCATCTGATACAAAACTAGGTCATGTGAAATCTGAAATAAAATACTAATGCACCGGATCCGATCAGAACTCCGCTGTTAAGCGTGGTTGGGTGAGAGTAATATTAAGATATGTGACCTCCTGCGATGTCTTCGTGTTGCACCTCTTCTAAATGCGGACCCTACCTAGTGAGATAAAGACTTGGTTGTTTTTGTTGTATCAAAGATTGAAGGAAATATTTTGCACCCAAAAAAGGGCAGTGCAATTATCTTTTTATTTTCATTGCATCTAATGATAAACTGTAAAAGCAAACAATACATTGACACACTCTATTTTTTTTCTGTCCTTTTCTACTCTGGAATGGCAGGCAAGGATCACCGAAGGACACGTGTTGCAAATGCTTATTTCTCCCTGTTTATGGCCATTGGTAACATTCTTGGCTATGCAACTGGAGCATACAGTGGTTGGTACAAGGTCTTTCCTTTCACACTTACCCCTGCATGCAATATTAGTTGTGCAAATCTCAAGTCTGCTTTCTTTCTCGACATTGGTTTCATTGTGGTCACGACCTATATCAGCATCATGTCAGCTCATGAAGTGCCTATAAGTTCAAGTGGGGCTACCCATGTTGGAGAAGCTGCAGGGGAGTCAGGTAGCACGGAAGAAGCCTTCATGTGGGAGTTATTCGGGACATTCAAATATTTTTCGTCAGCTGTATGGACAATACTATCTGTTACTGCTTTAACATGGGTTGGGTGGTTTCCGTTTCTTCTCTTTGACACTGACTGGATGGGCCGAGAGATTTATGGCGGTGAGCCGAATGAAGGCCTTAATTATGATAATGGAGTTAGAATGGGGGCGGTTGGTTTATTGCTTAATTCAGTTGTTCTTGGAATAACATCATTGTTCATGGAGAGGCTATGCAGGAACCGGGGGCCTGGGTTTGTGTGGGGAATCTCAAATATCATAATGGCCATCTGCTTTGTTGCAATGCTTGTATTAACCTTTGTAGCAAGTAATGTTGGCTATTTAGGCAGAGATCTTCCACCAAATTTCGTTGTGATGGCAGCATTGTCAATCTTCACCATCCTTGGGTTTCCACTAGCGGTAAGTTGCTCCATCTACTGCTAAAAGCATATTGTTCTTTCTTTTTTTGGTTATAGTGAAGGCACCTTTCTGTCTGCAGATTATGTCCTTGCATTGTTTTACAAAAAAATATCTATAGTCCTTAGAAGTGATGTGTCTTAATTGACTTGATCTTTGATGCACAATCTCTTTCTCTCAAACTGACCCTTTCTTTCCCCTGTTATTGCTTAAAACGGACACTCCTATTCTGTTGTTTTTGTATTATGTTGTTACAAATTTCAGTGGCTCGTACATGTAAAGTGATTTAGTTGAAATCCTGGCATATTTTTTTATACCTTATAATTTTATTATGATGTCACAAATGAAGATTTGGAAATGCTCCCCATCCACCACTTGTGTTGTGTATGAGTTGAAATATAAATAGTATTCGAGAGTCCCACATTTAATTTAATCTGATTTTTTGGTTAAATATTTCAGATCACTTACAGTGTTCCATATGCCTTAATTTCCACACATATTCAGTCATTGGGACTGGGCCAAGGTAGGCATCATTCATGTCTTATTTTTCTTTCTTGGATATGTGAACCTATAAGTATTTACGTTAATTGTTTGTACTTACAGGATTATCAATGGGAGTTCTAAATCTTGCAATAGTAATCCCCCAGGTATTTCTTCTTCTATTTCCTTTATTTATAGTTAAAAAAGTTAGAGGAACTTAGATATACCCAATCTTATTATAACAAGTGAATAGACTGTTTCCATGATTTGAACTCATATCTCTGAGTCACAAGGCAAACTTTCTTAGTGTTGCACTGGTGCTCACCTCTTATCCTTTTATTTACTGTTAAGATTGAATTAATATTATTTTGGGATGTGGTTGAGATGCTAGTAAAGTTGGGATGTGGTTGAGATGCTAGTAAAGTTAAATTGAATTGTTAAACATTACAAGTAGATGATTATTTGAATTAATTCAACTAAAATAATTACGAAAAACTATCATCCTGAATTGGGTGTGATATGTGACCCTGAGGCTTAATGTGAATACTTTGCAGTTTTACACCACTGGATAGAATAATTAATTGAGTTGAATACATGTCTTCTGAACCAAAAAAGACATGTATTCAACTCAACATGACGTTCATGTTTCTCCCAAAGGATTTTGCTGAATAAAACTATCAGTGCGGTAATGTTCGTGGTTAAATTCATAATTTTGGGATGCCTTTTGATATGCGAACCACTACAACAACAAAGTCTTATTGTTCTATCATAAATCATGTCCATTGACAAAAGGTTTATCTCTAAGTCTTTCTTAATTGTTTTGCCTATGTATTTTCATGGCCTCCCATTGCCTCTAGAAATCTGACTGACCTCCATTTAATATAATCTCCTTATTGGGGCTTCTACCACTCTCCTTCATTCGTGTTCAAACCACCTAAAGCTGAACTTTATCATCTTTTCTACAATACGAGCTATCTCAGCTTTCTCTCTATTCCATTCATTCATAATTCTATATTGTCTAATGTGTCGATTCTTCCAACGCAACATTTTCATTTATTTGTATTGAGTTTATTCTCATATTTGTAATATAGAAGTTTGAGAGTTCTCATTAGCATTTGACCTGATGTATCATGTCTGATACAGACATGGCTCCTGTTCATGTTTATGTGGTTCATAATTTTTATTTGGACAAATTATTACCACCTTTCATCTGTTCCATGCAATACAACCAATGCTTTTCCAATTTTATTTGATAAGAGAGTAAATATTATTAGGTAGAACTAGAAGAGAGGAATTATAGAGTGGGGCAAGAAGTCCTTTTCAAAGAAGACACAAAACCACTAAATTAAAACAAGCAACCTTCATAAAAATTTTAAAAAATAATAATGAAGAAAGAATCTTAAGTCTTCATTATTTGTATTTTTGAGCTAGTGAGTTATATTTTTATCATATTTGAAATAGATGGTGGTGTCAGTGGGAAGTGGACCATGGGATCAGCTATTTGGTGGAGGAAACTCTCCAGCCTTTGCTGTAGGAGCTGTTGCAGGCCTTGTTGGTGGACTCATTGCTGTTATAGCTATTCCTCGACCTACTAGTCAAAAGCCTAGAAGCCAAGTTTGAGGTATCATGTTCTCTCTGCTTTTGGCACTGATGATATATTTCCAAGAGAGCTGGTGAAATTAACATTTAGCAAGAATTTGTAAATAGTTATTTATTTAACTTCAATGTGATTGTAATCTTGTACTTCTCCTCCCACCTAATCTTTTTATAATATGAATAACTGAATACTTGGCTGTGTATTCCATCTTAGTGGTCATTAGTTAAGGTCAATGAGCTAAATATTGTGTTGTACTTACTTATTATGTTATGAAATATTAAATACTTTGAACACATTCTTTTTTGGGTGAACCTGCTGAGTAAGTGGTCTTCTATGTTAATCATAAGGTACCCTGATACCCTCTATTGGCTGTAATAAAGAGGGTAAATACTAAATACACTTTTGATGTCTAAGGAACAATGTAAAAGATGCAATTCATATAAACATACTGGTAACTCAAATGTAATCATAAAAGCTATCACCAAAAATTGAATGAAAGATTATCTGCAATGAGTGGAGAATTTCTACATTGTAAAGTTAGTTAGGGGCATCTTCTCTAGGTTCCAAAATTACTCATGGGCAACATTCTTTCCAACCAGGATGAGTTGCTTCTCATTAGGAATTATTCCTCATGAATAAATTCATTATTTTTGAGGCATTGCTAATTGTGCGTTGGTGCTTCAATCATCATGTATTGGAATATTAAAATTCCTGTGATTTGTTTCTAGTATTAGCTTCATGAATGTGTTTAGTGGCCAACAGTGAATTTATGAATTGTGCTGATGGAAACCTTGATTGAGACACTGATTTAATGCTCCATTTTTAGGCATAGTATTTTTCTTTGGGGAATGTTAATAAGTTCGCTAAGGGTATTCTGTAAGGAAGAGAAAATGGAAAAAATTTGTATCAAAAAATATTGTTTTCACAATTCCAGAAGACTTAGACTTAGTTTTCCAAATACTAATTTTCTTCTTTTGTATTCCTTAAACAAGTTCCCTGTGGCACTCTTTTAACACAACTCTTTTTCTTTAAAATTCTTGAATGACAGGTTGGATTTATAATGATCATTAAATGCTTGCATTTAATTTACTTTACTTCTTTTGAACCATTATGTTACTCGGTGAGTATCAACTGTCTCATTTATTATTATGTATCAATCCAATTGAAATTTACTTAAAAAGAAAAATAAAAAATAACATTTTTATGTTATTTGGTGGGATATGATTGATTTAGGACATGAATATGTGAAATTTTGAGAATAAAGGATCCTAGTTTGGTTGGGAATAAATTCTAGTGTTTATTTCACTCCACAATTCAAGAAAGTCTGATTTGCTTTCATTTATTCGTACAACCCCTGTTACTAAGAGTGAAAGAGCATTTAAAAATAAGTAGTACTCCTACCGTATCAACCTTTGTTATCATCATTTGTCCGAGCTTCTTGTGTGAGCAGTGACCCAATCTTCGAACCACGTGCTAACTGGAATTTAACTCTAAAGTTTAGATTTAGATTTTGCATGTTCCTACTCTACTTATAATATTTTTAACTACCTATTGATGGTAGTCTAATACGAAGAGGAAAAAAATAATAGAGTGGTAAACATTGGGGCACGCCCTTTTTACTTTTGATTGCATGTCATTCATATTCTAACAGTTTAGCTGGAGTTCTAAAACATACTATTAATTGAATAAGGATAGTGTGTCTCAAAAAACTTTGTTCTCATGTCTCAAATCAATCACGTTGTACCAAATAATATAAATAAAATTATTTTTTATTTTTTTATTTTTCTTTTCAATTAGATGACAGTGTTTAATTGAATTGATACACATTTGAGACACAAAAATGGGACATGTGATCTTAATTCCTATTAATCATACATCTCCATTAATGATTGATTATTTATGACATTTTGTGGTGGAATTCAATAGTGCTTGCTATATTCGTGTCTTTGTTATTTACTTTAAACAACAAAATGGGTAAATTCTGTG